CTACCACCTGACCATGGGCTCTTTCACAGGTTCTCAGCTTTAAACAGCAGGTGATCCCTGAGTGGATCCTCTGCGGAGTCCGAGCCAAATGAATGTGCCCATTCAGTTTGTGTCTGACAGACATGGGTGGACCTGTGATAGCTCTATGGGTAGCCACATGTAATCAGATTTGTGTCTGTTTATAGCAAACTAGCTCCAATCCATCATGTTTAGCTCCAAAAAAAAGGAAAAAGACGCAACCCTTTAATGCTTTTTTTTTAATGGACCTGCACAGACTCAGAAGTAGGTGAGTGTAGACAGATTTCATTTTCATTGGCCTGTCCATAGAGCTGCATGGAGTTTCCGATCAGGTCCACCTAAAACATTGGCAGGCAGACCTGATCGGAAAGCTGTGTGAAAGGACCTTATAGTGGCTGAAAGTCAAATTCAGATGCACAGGAAAAAAATTGTTACAGTTAATGATAGGTAGATCTGTCCAGGTTTGATTCACCAAGGGTTCTGCAACTCTTGTTTAAAATTTGTTTAAGCTGAATTAATATGTAAATTCTACAGAAATCTAAGAGGATGGAGAGGCACATCTTGTTAAATTTTAGATAATTTTGGGGCTAATAGCCAAACTTCTGAAAAAAAAAGAAGTAGGGAGCCGGGCAATGCAATCAGGGACATACACCATTGCACGAACAATTTTCAACACGTTTTGTACAGCATGTCTTGTCATGTGAATTAAAGGGCCTTTAAAGAACATGCTTGGGGAATGGTTTATGTGATGCTATGAAACAGCATATTTCAGTATGAAATGGCAGAGCATATTTGGACGTGGAATTGAACTGAATTGAACTTTTTTTCTTTTACAATTAGCTTGGCTTACATACAGCATCATCACCCCCATATGATTCATTTCAGAGAGAAAAAAGGACTTTTTACCTGGTAGCTGTAGCAGCAACACATGCTTTTTCATCAAAAGGTAACAAGCCCATTTTGACCATCAGACAAAAATTAGCCACTTGTTTGCTGTGACTGTCAGTTTGCTCAACGCTTTACAATATAACGGGAGACAATACAGCAACAATACAGTTCAATACAAGAGGGTTAGGAGGGCCCTGCTCCTTGGAGCTTACAATTTATTATTATTAATATTATAATTATTATTATGGACTCTGGGGGTAAGCGCTATACTTGAAATGTGTCTGGCTACAGAGAATAATGGAAAATTGTCCTCACCTCCGGTGCATAGGCCAGGCAGATGGCTATTGTTTACTGAGCCTAGACTGTCTCCAACATGGCACCTGCAAGACTCTACAGGTACGGGACCCGACAGGACTACAGGTACGGGACCCAACAGGACCCTACGGGTACGGGACTCGACAGAACTCTACGGGTACGGGACTCAACAGGACTCTACGGGTACGGGACTCGACTGGACTCTACAGATACGGGACTCGACAGGACTCTACAGGTAGCTTATTGGTACTTTCACATCATACCACAGGTCCCTACCTATACTTGCAAACCGGATACAGAGGTCACCGGGATGGGGCATCTTGGATTTTCTTTGAGATTGTAATGATGCACTCCTTTAACTAAAGACATGTTTTATTGCTTAGTTGTAATGCTCACAGTCTTATTTATGTGGCTAAAAACCTTGTTTCTTTCCACACAATCAACTCTGCTGTTATTATTTCAGAGACAATCATCTGCTTCATAGAACACCACTAAACTTTCTCACTAAGTTCCCCATTCAATTATTATGAACATGAGCTAATTATGTCTGTGACAACAGCAACAAATCATATTTTCTAAAGCACGAGCACAATGATTATGGACACATCTTTCAATCTTACGTTACAGCAGCATTATTTGACAGGAATGTATTGATAAACTGCTCTATCCTCATTGTAACAGTGGTCACTACACCAGCAAAATGCATATATTTATAGCATACATGCAGTAATAAATTATTCATAAAATAAACCTTGAAAATTAATTTGTTGTGTGATCAGTGCAAGGTATGTTATGTACAACATTGCTCATAAACATTTTCTATTTCAAACTTTTGTTGATCATCGGCTGCAGCCAATCAGCGGGTTTTGCTGCCAGAATACATGTCCCTTGGAATAATAGAAAAAGAAGGAGTGCCCGATGTCCAAAAGAATGCACTTTTGATGGTAGATTAGGAGGCATATATTGAGAGAAACGACAAGTACATCAAGCCAATGCGTTTCATGAAAAAAATATTTCCTTCTTCAGGGCTATTAAACAAATACGAAAAATATACAGAGGAGCAAATATATGAGAAAAGAAAAAAAAAAACAACAAAAAATGGTATGTATATAAAGAAAACATATATATATATATATATATATATATATATATATATATATATATATATAAAATAAGAACACTATGTCAGTTATGTAGAGGTAAAAGTACGAAGGTAAACTATGTCTTTAAATATTATTCCAAGTATACATGTGGAAACAACCTTAAGGCCCTATCAGAAAGACAGCAGCCCAAACCCTAAGTGGGTAAGTGGGTTTACCAACAGTATCCACAACAGACTGCAGGGACATCTCCCTACCCATCCAGGCAACCACCAACCTATGACCAGTGACTGATCAAGTCGATCCAGCGCAGTCCTAAGCACAAACAGAATACATGTCCTGGCACAGGAATCCTCCATCCACCTTGTTTATGTGGATGGAAGAATCTGTCTATGGCAAGCTTAAGTGTTACTGAACTGCGGAGAATTAAAATCAGGTTTCTTACCCTGCTTTGACAAGACAGTTCTGTGTGACAGAGCTGTGCAAATCTCAAGGCTGGATGGACAGAAATATCAGTCCTTTGTATATTGTATAATGAAACCTAATAACATTAAAATGTAGTTACACCCACAATTTTTAAACTTGCAGCTTTTATTAAAACAACCCCTGGTGTTCCTGCCACTGCAAAAAAGTGGAGCTCCAGGATCCTCCCAAAAAACCAAAAGTCAGCAGCTATGAATACTGTAGCTCACAAGTGTCAAAATGGTGGCCCTCCAGCTGTTGCCAAACTACAAGTCCCATGAGGCATTGCAAGATTGACAGTTACAAGCATGACTCCCAAAGTCAGAGGCATGATGGGACTTGTAGTTTTGCAACAGCTGGAGGGCCGCCAGTTTGACACCCCTGCGTTTAAAATAAGGACACTTACCTGTTCAGGTATCGATAGATGTCCTCACCCGAGCCAATTCTTCAATCTGCTTCGGCTGCAGGTGCCGGAATCTTAGTATAGGGAAACCAGACGTAAACACAGCCAGTTTTCTACTGTGCATGAGCTAAGCATGCTGCACTTTGTGAACGGGGACTGTCAAAACCAGGTACCCAGTCCCCCCAAAAAAGTGCCAAATATGGCAGTGGAGAGGGGGAGGAGGCAAACAAGCAGAACGTCCCCTTTTGGGTGAAGTTCCATTTTACGTTTTTGTCCTTATCTGTGCACCACCAGCAACACCAGCAAAGTCAATCCTGCAGTGCAGAAAAAACATATCCATATTCTAGTTTCTCTGCAGCACCATTCATTTTTAATAGCATCTCAATGCAAAGCACATGAGGTTTTGCACACCAGAATACATAGCAACAAAGTACCATGCTTTCTGGTGCCGTGCATTTAAAAAAATGCAAGGGCTTCTCTGGCATGATTTTAGTGTGTTGGGGAGTCCATTTAAATAAATAGTTGTGAGCATAGTGCGCATGATGTTGCACGCAAAATGTTCATTAACGCGCATGCGCTGTTGCAGCTGCATATGTGTGAACCAGGCATAATTGTGCTCCTGCATTGCCAAGTGAGCTTCAAGTGTCTTTTTTTATACTCACATTATGAATGCAAGATTTACTAGTGTCATCATGGGGAAACCCTTCCTGAAAACTTCAATGCAGCTAATGGAGTGTACACATATAGACATAAAGTGACAACAAAGAGGCTACAGAAGATCAGCAGCAAAAGATGAAAAAGGGGTGAAAACAGGTATTTAGCAATCTTTTTTGTTGCCCAGCTGGTAAAAAACACTCAGCATGACTGAGCCCTATTTTATCCATTTAGAATAGTAAAAGGAAAGCATCAGTTATTACTATTCAGATCAGTACCATCTAGCTGTAAGTGTATGCTATGTCTTTATCATATCCAATGAATTCAGTACCACAGCACTATCAATTTTCTTCTGACGGCACAGGGAGGAAAATTGTCACTTTAACAATTCTATTAATTCTCCCCAGACATACAGGAAAAATATCCATTCTAGAAATGGCTCGAAGAAAAGACAATTTTTATTCTCACCATGTGTTTCTATTGTTAACGGGGACAATCATGGTGAACAGTTGTATCTCTGCTAATTCCTACGCAAGCTAACATCGTAAAAGTCAAAGAAGCAAATTATCCCCATGAAATTTAAGAGCTACTTAGTGCACGATTCACACGTAGCAATATGTAGCCATATTAAAGCAGAATTATCCTCTTGGATTAAGGGAAATTAATTTACTGACACATTTTAAAGCGTCGGCTGGATTAGCTCAGCAGAGGAGATAGGGTTAATAACTCAGACTTATTTGTGACCTCCGTGAATTCCCTACTGCATTTTTATAATACACGATGAGCTGTAGAAGGAGATTGAAAATCTGCCTACAGCTGAATCCAGCATAATGGATATGCGCTAGGTGAGTGGCTTTACTCTCTATTGTTCTACTCAGGACCGACAATTCCAACTATCTCAAGCATCTTGAAAAATAGAGGAAGGAAAATGCTACAGGCTCAGCTTGTGAAACATTCTTTGTAATGGGAAAAAGATGAACCAGTATGTGTTCATATATTTCAAAATTGTGTTTTTCAACAACTCAGAACGAGTTTAAACAATATGTTGCTTTTCACCTATTGTTGAATTAGAAATCAGAGAATATTATGCCAATTACAAACTGGGAGTTCAAGTGTTACTGGAACCTAAGGGGTTAATCCTCTGCATTGTGTAAAAACTTTGTTTGATCCTGACTTCTCTGATCCTCCCCTTCTTCCAGTGCCCCCCTCTTATCTCCTGATAAGGCATATCATGTGGAGACACTCTGCACATGCTCAGTTTGTGTTTTTTTTTTTATTGCTAGAGTTTTTTTTTTCTTGGGAGAGGACATGTGATCAGCACAGGGCCAATCAGCACTGTCCAGACAGAGGTCAGGGGTTTTACATCCTCCTACAGCAGAATGAAAACTCCTTCTACAAGCTTTAACCAGTGCTCTGCTGAACACTGATAGAAGTCACAAGACTGCTCAAACTGCTGATGAGAAAAGGTATTTAGCAGTTTATTTTTACTAAAAAAAATGCATTTCCATGTTCTGTGTACTGTAGGAGACCAGATATAGTGAATGCAGGGTCCTGGGTTTAGAAACACTTTAAATTGTTTCTAAGGGTTCATTCAGAAATGCGGCAGCCCTTACTGCCTTTCTGAAAAGAGTTCCACTGCTAATTGATTTTCAGAGGGCAGTTAACAAATGGCTGGGAAACCATATGACAGGGCAGCTGCATCACTTCCCCATTAACCCCTTCCACCCGCCCTGGCATTTCCTTTAAAAGTTCTTAACACTCGGGGCAATGAGGATCGGCGATCATGTGAACACGGTGACTTTTTTTCTGGGGACCGAGAGCCATTTTTGGCAGCTCGGTCTTTGTGCTGAGAACATGCAGGGAGCGCGCTCCCAGGGCGTAAACATTTTGCCAAGGCACATATGGCTAATGGGACATAAAGGGGTTAACCTGAATGATTTGCCTTTTCTGGCACCGAACAGGACAGGGGTTTAGTTTTTGCTGCAATTGTGAAGCAAAGTATTGCAGCTGCAGATTTTCTACAGTCCTGAGCAGCTGCTTTTCCTTGTTCAGGTGGGCAGTCAGGGGGTAGTAAAACCACAGATCAACCACCTGCATTTACTGCCCCCCAGCTGCATATCTGAACAAGCCCTAAGGCAATTTTTTTAATGTTTTGGATAGAGTGATAAGGGGTTAGGGCATCTCCCAGGTTTGTATTGCTATTTGTGTCCCTACTGAGGAAATTCTCTCTCCTTATTTCTTCAAATAACCACTTGCCCAAGGATAAAAAAAAAAGAAGAAGAATCCAAAATGTTAAATTGACACCAGAACAGAAATAGAGGACTAATTTTCCCAAGATGACATTTGTTCTTGGGGCAACTGTCTAAGGGCTCATTTACACATGTGACAAGGACTTTTGCCCCTCTGAAAATAGATCAGCAGTTGGACCTCTTTTCAGAGGTGTTTGACAGGTGCTGAGGAGGTGATTTGTTGCCATCTCACCACCTGTTTTAGCCCCGTAAATGCTGCATAAATGGGATACAACTGTGTGCATTGCAGCAATGCCCCATTCACTTGAATGGGGCACCACTGCTATCCAAATGGGCTTTAATTCCATGCCATGTGTACACCCCTGTCCACTGTCTTTACATCTTAGAGGGGAATGTTTGGGGGTGGCAGTAAAATCAACCACATGTTTCTACCACCCCACAGCCACAAGTGTGTACAAGCCCCAAGAGGGGATGCATCTCATTTTTAAGATTTCCTCTTACCTTTTGTTTTGTCTACAGGAAGCTCTTGAATGGCACACGAATGGAACAAAAAACAACAGGGGGCTTAATCATTCCCCAAGTTTTAAAACATTTGTCACTCTAATCAAGCATACGTCCCCACAGTCAAATCACCCAGAAAAAGACCTAGGTGGGTGCCTGGGACCTGGTAGGTTCCTGCGTCCTGCAGGTAGAAGTAATAGTGATATACATCTTTAAAATGAGCTCAGACTTTTCTATTGGGGAAAGCTTCTGGGAATCAGGAGAACACAGGTACGGAGTGGGGAATATCTAGTGAACATCTGTGAAAGCCAAGGAGTACACACATCACACAACTAACAATTAGATAAAGAAGGACCTAACCAGCCCCATCCTGCTGGGATACCCATGGCAGCCATGCTTTATCATATTTCCAAGGGCAGCCTTGACTAATATAGTATATGTCAGCTTGTAAAGGGGCAAAACAGTGTTGATCATGTTTTCCCAAGAGGACATGTCTGGGGATGCAGCGGATGTCCATTTGCAAAGGATTTCCTTCTTAGCATGGAATAAGAGGTAAGAAATCAGTAATTTACTATGATGGGGATGCTGATTGTCATCATGAATCCCTAAGAGAGCTAGCTCTGGGATTTTAGGGACCGGCAACTGAAATCAAAGGTTGATAACATCAAAATCTTCCAACCAAAACCCCTGAACCCTAGGACATTCCCAAAACATATAAAAAATGAACCCAGATTAATTTGGCAACAGGGGCAATATGGGTCCCTGTCCCGGTACATTTTATGGAGTCTCAGAGGGGTATAATATATGCGATGGAGAAATTTAGTCTGCATTAGTTTATCTCTAGAGATCACTAGGTTAGGGCATTGTTCAAGACAGTCCTCCCAATCCTCTCTATCCAGGGATGAAATATCCCCATACCAATTTTAGAAGAATCAGTAATGAGCAAGGTCCTGTATAGAGCAGAGAGTGGCTCGGCGAGAGCACCATAACACAAAAGGTCCTCCACAGGATCCATCTGGCGGAGGGGCTGGGTAGGGAACTGAGATCTGATAGCATGATGCAATTGGACATAATGAAAAAACATCCAACCTGGCAACCGAAATGATTGAGAGAGTTGAGAGTTGAGAGAAGGACAGCAAGGTGCCCGCAGGCATAATATTATGGAGAGTCTTTACCTCAAATCTCACCCATCGCGGGGGGGGGTCAGGATTGGACCGAAAGTGAGGCAGGTTGGGGTTACCCCAGAGAGGCTGAGCAGGGGACCAAACTGGTTCTCATAGAAACTGGCATCTAGCCACCATCCAGACCCTCAAGGTCACACTAGTCAGACCCAGTACATGATCATATGCCCTAGCTCCCCTATACACCAAATTATGGACATCTGTCAGGGAACCCAGATAGGAAGCCTCCACGCACACCACGGCATTAGAATGGGAGCTCTCAAACCACCAACACACTGTCACCAACACCGCTGCCCAGTAATATACTTGGAAATTGGGTAAAGCTAAGCTGCCCAACTGGGTAGGAAGATATAGGGTAGACCTGGTCAGGTGGGGGAGGGTGCCATTCCATATGAAGGAGCTTACATATCGCTCTCTATCCCAGAAGAAAGAGGGCGGAATCCACACTGGGCAGTTATGGAACATGTAGTTAAATTTAGGCAGGATCATCATCTTGATAAGATTTATAAGTCTCAAAAGATTGAGGGGGGGCCCAGCCCACGAGGCACATCATTCCTTAAGGAGAGGAAGAAGGTTGCGTGCAAAATATTGGGATACATCTCTGGTTATCTGAACACCCAGATATCGAAATTCAATCACCCACCGCAACGGGGAGAGGGGAGAGTGCCTGAACGTCGAGGGGAAATAAGACAGACTTGGACCAATTATTTAAAATACCAGAGTAGGTACCAAATTTGTTAAAAAAAAATTCCAGGGCCGCCGTAAGCAACGGGCTCAGATATAATAACGCATTGTCCACATAAAGGGACAAATTCTCCTCCAATCGCCCAAAGTGCAAGCCCCGAACCGCCAAGGACTCCCTGACTAAAATCTCCAGGGAATCCAGGGCCAGAGAGAACAGGCCAGGTGATAGAGGGCATCCTTGGCGGGTACCTCTATGCAAGGAAAATGGAGCAGATAGCCAATCATAAGTGCGGATCCGCGCCCTATAAAGAATTCAATCCAACGTAGATATTTAGGGCCAAACCCAAAGTGACTTAAAATTGCCCATAAGTAGTCCCATTCTACAGAGTCAAAAGCTTTCTCAGCATCCAGGGAGGCCACTACTTGAGAGCTGCTATTGTCATGTTACAGAGACAGGTTTAGAAGGAGGCGTCTTATATTGATATCAGTGCCCTTGCCCGACATAAAACCAGTTTGGTCCACTTGAATGAGATCAAAAATAACTGTAGACAGCTGAGAGGCAAGAATTTTAGCTAGAATCTTGGCATCTACATTCAGTAAAGAGATAGACCTGTAGGAGGCACACTCCTAAGGGTCCTTACCCAGCTTAGGCACCAACACAATAATCGCCTCCTCCATAGATGCAGGAAGAGCCTTCAGTGAAGCAAATTCCAAAAGAAGAGTAGTTAGTCTAGGGGCCAAAAGTTCTATGTATTGTGAGTAGAATTCGGTAGGCAAACCATCTGAACCTGCAGTCTATCCACACTGCAACCCACCAATAGCCTCCTGAACTTCCTCCAGTGAGATATCTGCCTCCTGACAGCGTCATCTAATTTAGGGAAGGAGATTGTATTCAGGAAATCCCACAGCTCAGAGAGGGAAAAACAAGTAATAGAAGTATATATATACCTAAAGAATTCCAAAAATCTCGTTAATCTCATCAGGGGCTGTCAACAATGAACCCCCCACGTCCCGAACACTCACTATGTGCATAAAAGCCATCTGTCCCTTAGCCAACCAAGCCAGTAGCCGACCATTTCTATCCCCATACTCAAACATTTTCTGTGTGGAATGTAATAATGATTTTTTAGTTTGCTTAATTCTGAAGACCAAAAGCTCTCTCAACACTCACTGCCAAGTATCTGTCCCTATCGGTTGATTCAATATATGCTGCTTCACATTTTCCAGCCTCCTCCTCCAGACCATCCAGCGAACGAGCAGCCTCCTGCTGAATTTTAGTAATATGGGAGACATACTCTCCCCTAATCCAGGACTTGAAGGCATCCCACAACATCTTAGGGTCAGCTGAATTATCATTAAGTACCCAATAATTGCATGTGGCTTCCAGAAGCAGTTCTTGTATCCTCTGTCAGTACAAACGTGGCAGCCCATTGTGAAAGGGCAGTGGAGGAGCAGGCCATGGAGTGGAACCTGTCCAGGTCCTGAGAAGGGACCATGTTGAAATCCCCAGAAATGAAGACCTCAGAGGTATCATAACTCACCAATAAATGCATCACATCATATAAAACTTGTAAATTAGCAGGGGATATACAAGAGCATGAAGGATCACTTATCTGCCTCCTGGGTCTGTGCACATGTCCAGTATCTGGAATGGAAGAGATCTATGAATAAGTATACTGACCCCCTGGGCATAGTTGGAATACGTGGAGTGGTAATGGGCACCCATCCATGGCCTGCGTAAGCTTAGTATTTTAGAGCCTACTAAATGGGTCTCCTGTAATATGCAAATATGAGGAGTATATTTTTGCAGGAATTTAAACACAAGAGCCTGCTTAATAGCAGAGTTCAAACCCTGGACATTCCAGGAAATTATAGT